TTTATCGACAAACCGTAAACCTCCACACACCTATCAGCCAGTGTTATATAACTCCACAAACTGATGTCTGTAAAGCGAGCATTACTCATTTTACACGAATCGCTGCAATTCGACTACTCCTGTCATTTACTCACTAATGGTATTGTACACTGTTGATCGATTTTTTCGGGATTGACCTTTGTTCCCTTTGCCGTTGTTCTTTTGTGTGTTCGTGCCTCGTCTGCTAAGCCTGTCCTGACTTATTCTGTCGCGATTTCCGTGAGGTCACACTGCCAATCGGAATTACAAGACTGGCCTCCGAGGTGGCGACCACAACCAACACTGCGAAGCCAAAATTTCACTCATCGTTTTTCGGCGTAGCGACTGTCGATCAGTGACAGACTTGCGCATCTGTAGACGCCACAAACGCTGACAACGAGGATTTTGTATAATGTAACGGTTATTCCCGTTCTTATTCAACGAACTTCGCTTAATTTGCCTATTACATCCGTGCTCACTAGACCACGCGACTCCTCTGTTCCTGAAACACACAAATCACGTTACAAAAACCTGCCCCACTCGAAACCTAGACCGTCTTATGCGTGTCGGAACGGTTCTAGGTATTATACACGCGTCAAACTACACGTAGAGGGAGACACGACACAATGACCATACACCCTCGCGCGCGCGCTGGAGCAGGAAGTCAACCAAACTCGACAAGTCCACGGACAAGTACGGAGCACGTGTAGCAGTTATACACGTTCCCGCCGTCCGGACTTGCACCAAGGAATTCTCACAAAAAATAAGTTCCTCTTTTGACTTATTGAACACTTCGCATTGCATTTATTTTATACGTGATGCAACTCTCCACTGTCAACTACTGTCAACTACAGTAAAAACTGTTATTAGTGCATATACATTCTGAATTATATAATGGCTATCATTAACTGTGCACTAACAATACTTTTAATTACTTTAATGTAAATAGTACCGCAGATTTCGAACCCAATTCTTCCCACTGCTGTTCGAGGTCGTCAAACCTGCGCATAAGTCAGAGTTCCGTATCGGGTACCTAAACAATGTGGCTGAGAATCATCCACATCTGGAACCATTTTGTGTTTGCTGCAATTTTTCATCCGCCAATTCGGCTTCCCAATAGGAAAAAAACCAAATGTTTGACTTCCGCATTGAGTTACGCGTTATAAACAGGATTAGCTGCTGGAGACATATAGAATGGATATTTTGGGGGTTGATGAATTCGCACCCATGTCACGCATCAGGAAACCAGAGTAGGGTTATTCTATCTTGCAGGTAGTCCTTTTAAAGGGACTACCGTTTTCCCACAAGGTCTACCTTCCATCAGCTTGCACCAGTGAGTATTTGGCTGAACTGCTGTGAGATAACGTGCTATAAGTATTTCTGACCCATTGGCAACACAGTATTCACGGACGTTTGATAGCGAAATGAACGCAAGAACTGCAAAGGCCACCATGGCGTTTGACTAATTTGGAACATGTATGCATAGCAATGGGTTGTTGAATTGTCCCGAACGGTGTTCAAATGAAGCGTTCATGCACTTGACTGATTTCACCTGCGATGTCTGCGCAAAATCTTTCGGATCAAACAGACAAGCCTAAGCCTGAGGATGGAACTCGTTCGAAGAGCAGTTTGATGCAAAACCAGCACCACCAGTCGGCCACTTAAAGTGAATAAACCAAACTTGGATTTTCAAAACAACCTGCCTGAGGATAACTGAAAAATGGAGCTCAAAACCTCGAACGTGCAAAATCCAACTATAAGAACAGCCTTCAGATAAGTTTGGAAAGCCGTCGCATCCATTTAAGACTCTGCGTTGCAGAACAAGTGATCCATTCGGTAGAGGACCAGCATTTTCCGTGCAATTTCGAGCATGTAGACTTACGAAAATGCGAACGTAGTTTTCTTACTAAGAGTGTGGTTTATCAGCTTACTCACCGAACTACCTTTTGTGATCAGCATCTGCCCGACATTTTAATCCTAAAGATGACGTCTCTCTGACCCTGGGAGCGCTAAAATACCGTTTAAAGGAGTAGATGCGTCGATGATCAACAATTCTTTGGCACTGGCGCCCATGCAGGTTCACCCATCACCCTTATTCCGTCGGCTTCGCGTCGGTTCGAAGACCTTGTATTAGGCAGCACATTCGGTTCCGTACATATCCCACGCGCGGGCTCGTGATGCCAATTGGTATTCGCCTAATGGAATCGATTTCTCAAAAAATGCGAGGTTTTCAAGGTTGCCACTTCATAGAGTGTCTATGTGTAGTACATTTGTCTACAAGTTCTCTACATGGCTCAGTTGTTGAAGTGAGTGTTTCAATGAGTGGGAAAATGATGCCTCATGAAATAAGACATCGTGGATCGCGGTAAAACGTGAATCGCATACGTATTTCCTGATGGCTTTGCGAATATGGAAACAGAACATTACATTGCAGCTGAACACTACACTTGCTGTCCTCATTTGTATCGCCCATTCGTCCATAACGAAAGTCTTCACTTGACACTGTTCACCCACCATCTTCCTGAACAAGCTAAACAGTTAATGCGCAGAGGCAAACTGTTCGCTTTCCACAAATACATACATAACCGGACGGGACCCACGTTCACCCACCATCTTCCTGAACAAGCTAAACAGTTAATGCGCAGAGGCAAACTGTTCGCTTTCCACAAATACATACATAACCGGACGTCCGGGACCCACGGCATATGTGACAGGTAGATGTGGAACTTTTATCTACAGACCGGATATTAGTTGCTTTACAAAGACTTGTAGCGACCAAGTCACCCACACACTTAACTGTTCAGCCCACAATCGCTCACTGGATCACGAGACTTGTCTCTTTTTCATGCCCACAACCACGTCATATTAAGGTCACTCGTCAGACATCGATTGTCTGCACCGTCTAGTGGGCGTACCAACCACGCACATGCTGACGCGCCCACGTACGCGCAAACGGACTTACATATAGGGAAACCGAACGCAGTCAGCACACAGACTCGAGCGCGCGCAGGAAGCAAGGAGTCAGCCAAACACTCCAAGTCCATGGACAATTACGTGTAGCAGCCAAACTGTGGAGGAAACACGCTCCCGCCCTCTGGACTTTTACCACGGGACTCTCACATACGATAAGTTCCCTTTTGACTTGCTCCACATTTTATATTGCCCCTTATTTTATACATGCTGCAAATCGCTTCTGTAAACTATGGTCAACCACAGCAAAGACTTTTATTAGTGCATACACCCTCTGATTTGTATTATGGTCATCATCAACAGTCCACTAACAGACTAACCTAAATCGGTTTGTTGTGTATGTTCCATCAACAACAGGCTTAGAAACAGCGCTATCTGCTGCCATCTGGCGAAGCATATGTGGCTGCAGCGACTTTTCTCCGACTGCACCACAAGTACATGTCTGGACTCGCAAAGCTTTGCCAGGACCGAAGGCATATCATCTGCCACCAAAAAAGACAACCATCTGTCACTTACGTAACACGGATGGTTGACAATTGCGGAGGTAGTGGTACATGTCCTGAGTTGCTAGGGCCTTGCAGAAATACACAGTATTGCCTGAATAGCTTGATCTTGCGCCCATCAGACAAGATTGTGAGTGAGTGTAATATCGGCGGCAGTATCAGATGATATGCAGCTGTTTTGTTCCAAAGGTTCCAGATTATCAGCAACGACTTCTCATTTACCGCATTTCACATATGGGGCAACTGATGAGTCTGTCAAGAGGGCAGCGGGTCGTGTGTGCTCTAACGGGCCCGTTGCGGTGGCAAAAAACGACCGTGTGTAAAACACGGCAAGTTTAGCAACCACTTGACAGGGATGCATGGTTTGAATCACGTTCGGCAACAACAGCAATAATCATGCTTATTAGGTCAACATCACCCTCAAGAGATTATATTGCAGTGTGTATTTGTAATTTATTGCCAAGGAGTTTATGCAAAACTCCAAAAAGCAATAATCGCTTATTCAACATTAAACGCATCGCAGCCTCAACAGCTTGAATTAGGCAAGCATAGGTCATCCTACTCTACAGGGGCTCTAGTTCCCCACACATAAACAATTCCGGCAAATTCATTACTGATGAAGGTGTATGACCCATTCTACTGAATTTGCCTGTTTTTGCGTAAAATTATGGTTATTGCTTACAGAAGCGATGTGCCCCATGTTGAAACATTTTTACATCCTCTCCTACCTCATTGGAAAGCAGATTTTGATTCTACCGAAAGGTGATCTTTATAAGGTAGAACTGGCTTCCACTTGTTCATCCATGTTATCAGATTTTCAAGACAAGTACATTTGGTTACTGAGGCCGACCGCTGTATTTGTACTGTTTTTTTACCGGTGCCATTACACAGGTCATCGGTGTGAAGTATTGTTATCTCAGAAACGACTTGGGCCGCTGAGTGGCAATAAGTTCCCAACATAACTGCACGAATTCTCCTAGCTAGTCTGTGCTCGTAGGTTTTCGAGATTATCATACATAATTGTTTATGAACAACTCCGTCCCTTCAGCAACATTACTGTGATTGAACGTTATTTTCTTCTTAGTCTGCTGACTGCAGATGTCATGCAAGGTTGAAACCAGTCGAGCATCACTTTGAGTCTACCTTAGACTTGTCCTCTCAGCAATGGCGTGTTGACTGATTTGAAGGTAAGTTATTTCTATGGAACTGGTCAAAGTAAGCTCGCATGTGAAATGCGCGCGAATACGGAGGGCTAGGTTTTATTTGCAAATGAATATTCGTCGCCATTTCACGAAAAATGTTGCTGGTCTGACTTGTGCGTGAGGGAGTTTGCATGCACGTCCATTATTGAAGATGGAAGCCGGATTTTTAAACTGCACAAACTGAGAGATGTTCGTAACAGTAGTGGAAGGTGAGTAATGAACTTATCTTTTCTTTGGGATTGTTCTTCACCTACCGAAATTCGGAATGAATAAACCACGCGAAATTGAAAGAAGCAATACTACTTACTCTAGACCCATGCCCTCCGAGACGCCGAAAGCACAACAGCATCATTCCATCCAAAGTTTCGTCCAGATTCATGAGTGTATTGACGAAAAATGAGACCTCATTCGAAATGTGATTGATGAACTCTGTCTTAGATACAATCAGTTGTAGGCAAGTGTCGTTTATTTGCAGTAAAGTTGGACGCTTTTCGCTTAGTTTAGATAGCTGTGATGCACTACTTAAGCATATTGTCAGTGTGCTGATACCAGCCCCAAGATCATCCGGCAAATAGTCTGTGGTACAAGATACAGATAGCGGTACTCCCGAAATCCTGTATTCCTGTGAGATAGAAAAGCTGAAGACTGGAGGTGGAATAGGGTCAATAATTTCGATTCCACCAGCTGCACAAACTGTCTCGAAAAGCTCTTCTCTGTGCATTCGTAACTGCGGATCATCGAAAGCGATGTGACATGTGCCACAGCTTATATTTACAGTCAGGTGAGGCAAAAGGAATGTGACTTCTTTCGGGTTTAGAAGTGTGGTTAAGTTTTGTGTTATTAACTTGTTTTGTGCTGGTGCGTGAGTAAAGGCAAGCAGATACATCAAACTGGACCGTGGCATCCGTAGCAGCTTTTCCAGAGTACCGTTTGACAAAGTCGTATCCACCCGATTATCAAA